CGATTTCCACCCCCAACCCCTCAAGTTTTTCTCTATATATTTTGCTATTTTTTGCCTTGGTGTCACCCCCCTAAATGATGTCACCCGGTGCGGTCCGCACCCCCCCCCCCCCTCGCTACGCCCCTGGTCCTAGGCACACTATTTGGTTTTAGTGTATGCCTCGTCTACCCTGTGTACTTGATGGGCACGAACAACGCTTTTCTATCGGATTTATATAATACGAGCCGACCCGCTATCATACGCCGCTATTTAGATGTTTTATTTTCTACTTTTCAGTTATTCATAATTTGTTAATTCGACAGTACCAATGCTGCCACTGAAAATATTTGCTTTAAAACACTAAAACCCTCCTTTCCCCCACCACCACCCACGTGAAAGCAGCCTCCACTTAGTTACTTCCCCTAAGTATAAAATAGTTTTAAACTAAATTATCTGCCCCTAATAGCCGTCACTAAACCCGGCTGTACGATGTAAACATTTAGCGTGAACTACAGCTCACCAGACCATGTGGGTGTGGGGGTGGTTGAGATATGCCTAGAGAGGAAAAGAGGGTACTGTTCGGCGCGCTTACAGCTTGTTTTCTAACGTCTCTCAGAAGAGAATTATATATATAGAAGATAGATGAGTTATGGCCTGTTAAAAATCCCAACCCCTGTAAATATGTCATGGGTGCATAATACTCAGTGATATAATAAACAAGTTGAAATACAAGGTTTGTACGCACTCTGGAAAAAGTCTTGAATTTAGAAAAATGAACTTACGACTTTAAAAAGTCTGGAAAATCGCTAGTTTTTTGGACTGGAGTTTTTGAAAAGTCTGAAAAAGTCTGGAGTCTAGTTTCTAGAAATAAATTGTCCACGAAGTCCAAATTTTCCGACTAACAAAAAGGATATTCTTTCGAATTTACTCCATTTTTTACCCCGCGCTGTGGGTTTACAAAGTGTTGTGACATTTTTTGCTGGATCTCAGAATAAACCCGATTGCTCAGTTGTTACGTCACATTGTGGGGGAAGGGGGAGGGTAGAGAATTTTTTTCTCTACCCTCCCCCTTTCCCCTCCTCTATAATGTGACGTAAAAACTGAGCCAGTTACAAGTATTTAAAATTATTTAATTATCGTTCACAGAAACGCTAGGCTCTCGATTTTACCCGCTATTTTTCATTAAGTTTTTCTGAGTTTTGCAGTCAAGCAGTCATAGCAGAAAATTACGGAAGAGGTGTGTAACGTAAGTGGTAGTTAAAGTATAATTTATCTATCTGTATTTTTAATCCACCTTCAGTTCAACTGTTTTTTTTAAAATCTTTACAAATGCTGACGATTAGGGCTAGACTTACCCGCCCCTTCTTGTAACTACGATCACTTGTGTGAACTCTGACCCCAAATACGTATTTGTTACTGCTGGGGTGGGATGGGGAAAAAAATCACCTTCTTGTTCATGCTATGATGACGTATTAAACAGGCCTACCATGACCTTACATTGACCCTTTTACCGTGCTTTGTTGGGGGAAAAGGGGAGGGGGGATACTGGCAATTTTTAAGTGCAGATTGTAGTTTCTATCTATAGCATAAATAATAAATGATGTGTTTACACGGCCTGCAGAATGTTTTTTTTTTTTGCTCCAATTTTTTCTTTTCAATTAGCCCAGGGGTCTCCAAACTACTGCTGGGGTGGGATGGGGAAAAAAATCACCTTCTTGTTCATGCTATGATGACGTATTAAACAGGCCTACCATGACCTTACATTGACCCTTTTACCGTGCTTTGTTGGGGGAAAAGGGGAGGGGGGATACTGGCAATTTTTAAGTGCAGATTGTAGTTTCTATCTATAGCATAAATAATAAATGATGTGTTTACACGGCCTGCAGAATGTTTTTTTTTGCTCCAATTTTTTCTTTTCAATTTAATTAGCCTATTATTTTCAAAACACTATTCATTAGATCTAGGACCTAGGGGAAATAAGTCTAGGCTACTCAAAAAGACATCAATTAGTAAATTACTTTATTAGAATTTTTTAAAGTAATTAACTATCATTAGTATGCAATACTATTTTAGTAGTAGTTTAATTCAAAAGATAATGCAATTAGATCACAAACAGATTACATAAGTTCTAGGTTGGAAACAAAGTAGTTTCATTCTTTTAATCAATTATTTTAATTATTGAAATTTTGGGGGGAGTTGGGTAGACAGCAGTAGTAAAGTTGTTGTTTGTCCGTGTGGCTAGAGAAAGTACAATATAAACACTAGCTCAATTGTCTAAAATAAATATCACTATTATGTAAGTAATACAGTACAAATGTTGCATCATTTTATAAATTATTCGCTAATATATTATCCGTATAAATTCTGGAATTTTTCCAAATAAGTCTGGAAAATGTGTGGGAAAAAAGTCTGGAAATTCATTTTTAAAAAGTGGTACGAACCCTGGAAATAAAACAATAAAAACAAATGCATGAACCTTTAACCTCAAGGGACACTTCAGATTGTTTTAGCCTTCTATTATTTAAACTATTATTGAACTTTTGGAGTCATTCAAGGACATTGACCGTAACATCACAACGGACAACAAATTTGACTTGCTCGCTTTTCATTGAAAATATATATGCCCTAAACACTCGCGATTTGATGAACGGTAAGTAAGAAAACAAAGACAATGAAATTTTAATCTGTCCAGTTACAGAATTTTGGAGAATTTTCTCAGTGAACACTTTGTTCCTAGAGAAGTAGCATTATTTAATATGCACTTGGCTCGTCACATTTTTTGAAAGGTGTTCTGTCACGCGAAGGTTGAACCACGCTGCCGTGCATTTTATGGCCCATGCATTATATATTAGAGATTACAAAGCAGGTTTACACAGCATACATAAAGAAGAGAATGCAACTGTGAAATACAAGCCATTCCCAGTAACGTCACTTAAGGCCCGAACCCACCGCTGAATTTGTGACGTCGCAAAGTTCCAACATTTTACCTCCTACCTACGCACCGATAAATGAAACTATTGAAAGCTAACAATTTGTTTAGCGACTTTAGTTTTATGAGGTACAAAAAGGCTGCTAAGAAAAGTCACGTCCGATGAGTTTCCGCCGTTGTTTTTTTTTTTTTTTTTTCGAAAACAACGAAGTGATCATTTATATTATTTCAGTGTTCACTTCTTTGCAAAAAAAAAAAAAAAAAAGTGTTACAAATTCTTATTCTTTTAAAAGTAGTGAAAAGTAGGCTGAGATGAAAACACCTCTAGCTTAAATAAATGACTATGCAACTTGTTTCAGACAAGGAATAATTAAAAACACAAATAAAAATAGTTTTGAGTTACATCTTTGACTAGGTGGATTTTACGGGGAAAAAAATTGTTACAGATTCTTTGTGTGCATGTGCGGAGCTCTGGTAATTTGCTATTCTAAATCTAATTCTCTTATTATTGGAATAAAGGGAGACTAACCATTAATATAGACTTTTTTGTATTGCACAGGCTATTCCCGATTATCCCCTCTTGAATCCGTAGCCTATAACTTCGCGTAGTAAAGGCGATTTCATATTTAACTTTCAAGTAGGCCTACATGAGGAAAGTTTTTTTTCCCCATTAAATTCGCTTTAAATGATGTCATACAAGAGGGGGGGGGGGTCTTTAGTTCCAGCAAGCCAGTTGATTATCTTAGCAATAAATTTGATGGAATGACAGGTCCAGTAGTCCTATTTTAGTGGACTACAAATGTGTGGGGGAGGGGTGATACTTTTTTTTATTTGACCACTTGCCATAAAAAGAGGTGGGGTTGGGTAATTAGTTAAAATTGCTTAAAGCCATTTAATGGTGCCTCTCCCTCCACCTTACAAACCCACCAGTCACAACTTCATTGATAAAGTTAGAATTTTTTAAAATCTTGATATTTGTAAATAGCAAGATAAGAGCATTTGTTAAGAAATTCAGCTCTGATTAGTACTTACCTGATTAAAATGATCAACACTGCATTTGTCATACCTGCAAATGAAGTGAACTAGTTAGGGTTATCATTACAATGGTTACTACTACAAGTCACACTGAGATAAGTCACATCAGTAAAACTAGTGTGGTTTGAGGAATTTCCTGTTATTTCTCCCATGCATAGTTTAAAAGTGCAAAAAGTTGGATGTGTCATAAAGTTGACTGTTGTGCTGGTAACAGTTTGTTATCAGAATGTCTATAGTTGAATGTTGAAGTGGTTATTAAGTTGTTTTCTTCCACCCCAAGGCAGGTGAGGCCAATTACCTGGGGACAGTAACTGTGCATCTAGAAAAAAAAATCCTTCTAAAATTAAACAGCTGCTGCCTTGCAGATTGTTCTTGGTTAGCCAAAGTAAAAGTCTGTGCATCTAATCTTGACAGAAAAACAGGCTCATGTCAGAAGACAACTACCCATAAGGTGCATAACTTGTTATGTTGGAGGAAATCCTCTTTAGTATTACTGAAAAGAAATACGTTACAAAATAGAGCAGCAGGTCAAATAAGTAAAGTTTCCCTTTCAAACCTGACCGTCTATGGGGCAAGTGAAGTAGAGTTCACTTGTTTCTGTGACCTCTGCATATGAAGAGATAGTGTGGACTCAGGGACGATCTACTGACTTGAACCCGGATTCGAAATCGAGACTTACCGGTTAGTAGTCCAGCTCTCTACCGCTAAACCACTCTGTCCCATAAGCTGGTCAAATGGACATATTATATTATATCGAGGCATACACATTTTATCTTCATAGAAGTCTGCAGATTCCCAATAACATTTTTAAAGACTTCAACTTGAATTTTCTAAAATTAGAAATGTTTACACCTGTCAATCATCAGTCAATAGTTAACATTTTAATTCAATGTATCACATGCTATAGCCAACTCACTAGTAAACTGATGTAGGCCTAGGTGATAGTGTCTTTATATCCTGACAAAGGTCTCACATTTAATCTTATTTAGTGAAGTGTAAGTATAATGGATGGGGAGATCCCTACTTTAAGATAAAATAAAATGCCAACACATTTTTTCACATCTAATTTATTAAAGCAATTTTTTTTGTACAAAAACTAAAATATCTACCTAAATTTTGTGGTTCTTGCAAGTTGATGGATTAAATAAAGTATTCTAAAAAATATTTAAACAACTCAATTTGATTATGCACATTTCAATTTCAAACTTATAACAGTAAAATTGAAAGAGAAATAACAATTTTTTTCACAATTTTATGCATATCAAAATAGATAGATTTTTAAAATTAAAAACTTTAAAAAAAAAATAATAATTTGACAAATACACCAATCTAAGGTACATTTACTAGATAAGCCCATAATTTAAAAATAAAAGAAATCCCTTTTGTCTCTTATCACAAAAGCTTCTGTTACAAGATTTTTATGATCACATTTAGATACCTGGAAAATAAATTTATCTTATTTTTTTTAATTAATTACTCTAATTTCAGCCTAGAATCAGCAGTTTATTACTTCTTAATTGAAATTTTACAGATGATGCATTGTTCTGTCAGTGTTTTAATGTGTTGCTTTTACATCAATAGAAATGAAAAAAATCTTTTTCTTTAAGAAAATTTTGTTTATATTTTAATTTGAAAAGTAAAGATGTATATATACTGACTGGCTGCAACTATTGCCATTGAATCTTTGCTAGTTTATGAAAGTTGATTGTAAGTAGTAACAATTGCAATTGTCAGAGAGAATTATTAAAGTAAGGGTGATGGACTGCTAATCAGTTTGAGCTTTATTACAACACATAACTTGATAAAATCAGTTGTGGGAATTGTAAGAAAATACAAGAACAGCTAAAAAAAATGTAACTATATGAAAATACAAAAGTAACAAATACATTTCTAGTTTTTATAAGAAAGTACAAAAAGTAGCTAAAGAATTTCTACAATCAAAAGAAAATAAAAAAAGTAACAAATGCATTCTAGTTTTATTTTTAAAATACAAGAATTAGAATAAAAGAATTTCAGTTTCACACTAAGAAAATACAAAAAGTGTGGGCATTATATTTAACATCCAATAATATTCTGATTTTGGTCTTGTTAGAATTTTTAAAAAAACAATGGGAACCAACAGAAACTAATTTTTTCAAATTTTGGTTACCAACAGTATGATCAATTTTTAATGATCCAGGTGTTATATTGTTTGTGCAACAGCGTTTTTTTATACCAAAAATACTACTTTTATTTTTTTTTTTGAGCCATGCATTGTAATTAATCTTAATGCTAATAGCATTACAAATTTGTTCATTACAATTTTTTTTTTTAAATATTAAGTCATACATCTATTGTTCATTTAAAGTAGTTTTTTTTCAATCAGTCTTAAGGATGCAAAAGTTTGATCAGAATGAAGAAAATCAATTAAGCTTAGTACCAATAGTATTAGTTTAAATAATTTTGGAAACTAAAAAAATTATGGAAATTTACTATCTTAAAAAATAAATTAAATTTTTATGTGTTAAAAACTGGGACACACAAGTGTAAAAAAAAATTGAACAATAAAAAGTTATTAAAACAGCAAATACAATACCCTAGATCAGGGGTCGGCAACCTGTGGCTTGCGTGCCGCTTGCGGCTCTTTTGGTGTCCAGTTGCGGCTCTTCCGCTCCATGCACAAATATTAATAATTATTTTATTTTCAAAACTCATAAAAATAGTAGTCTGCAACACTCGGCACGATATAACAATAGATATAAACAAAAAACATTCACTATTCTATTAGAACAGTGGTTCTCAAACTTTTTCGAGTGGCGACCCCCTTTTATAAAAAGTAAGTGACCCGCGACCCCAATAGAATTAGAAAAGCGGTGCGCGGACCTTTGACCATAGGTGGTTTGACCACAGAGGGGCTTTTACCACAGCCAGGCTTTGACCATAACGGGGTTTTGGCCATAGGTGGTTTGACCACAGGTGTTTTCTCAGCAGAGGGTCTTTGATCACAGATGGTTTGTCAACGGGTGTTTGATCACAAGCGCTGTGTCCAGCTTTGACTATAGGTGTTTTGTCCATATAGGGTCTTTGATCACAGGTGTTAAGGATTAATTCTAAAAGTTGTGTAATACATTTTAAATTGCGGCAGGGTTTAATAATAAGTTAATTCGTCTGTTATTTAGTTAACAATAACAAGTATTACTTCTTTGACTATATTGTTGGCATGTTTTTTTAACCCTTTTTTATGCTATGTATTTTCAAGTACATTGTACACTATTTATTTGTGAAACTTGGTATATGTGGAGACTAAAATATCCTTATTGACTTTTTTAGTATTTGTTAATTTCAATTAATGTACTCTCGTGAAACATTTATAAATTCTATTTAATTGTATCATAAATTTAAATCAAATAACAGTTTATAATTATGCTTTAAAATATATATATTATGGCCCCCATCTGTAGTTGAAAATCCCGTTGTGGTTAAAGCCCCGCTCTCAACACAAATTCAAATGTGATTATCTCATATTATATTCAAAGCTATTTATTTTATATTATATATATAGTATGATATTTGTTTATGATTATATATATATATATATATATATATATATATATATATATATATATATAATCCTAAACAAATATGCTATAGACATAAACATGTTAGTGGCTCTTTAAAAACCGGGTAATGTTGTAAATTGTAACTTTTGGCTCTTTCGTCTCAAAAGGTTGCAGACCCCTGCCCTAGATACCATACTCATATTTTTGATAGCTTGTTTTAGTATAAAGTTAAACAAAATCGAAATCTTTCTGTTGAAGTAACTTTTTTCCAATATTTTCCATCTAACCAGGAGGATGAGCTTGTTCTCTGGAGGGATCTAGATTTTTTTGAAAATGTTATTTAATGGTTAGTTGAATATGTACAAAACTCAGCCAGTTTTTATGCTAGACCTACCAATGACCACTAACACATTAAAATCAAATTTTACATTATCTTGATTAACACTTACATTGACTTATCTTTTTATAATTATTGATGCGATCTAAGATGGCCTTGTTTTTAATTCCAAGGAATTATTTATTCATCTTAAGTTGGGTTTTTGTCAGGTTGGCTACCTAACCATTTACTACATAGCTGATTTCATAGCCAACCATTTGCTCTAACCTAAGTCTCTCCTTCTGTTACCATATCAGTTTTACTTGCCCCGGGGTGACTTATTTAAATGATGGACTCCAGTCTCTCATCATGTCAACGTTGTAGTTTATTTTTTAATCCCATGACTTTACCACCTTGTACACCTGATATATTAACTAAACACCAAAACAAAAAAACCTACTGTTTTCTTTCCGATTTACAGTCTCTAGCTCTTCTCTTTTCTCTGCTTCTGGTAACATTGGCACATTTGTTGGGGGTGGCATTTCTTGGCCTATGATTTAAAACATATTCGAGCATAAATAATCAGTTACATGCATGAATCGATGTATGAATATATAAGTGTACTGTATACAAAGATTAACAAGCTGAATAAAATTTAAAGTTCAGGTTTGAAGAACAAAACAATGTCTCACTAGTTGTGACAGAGTCTTGCTGAGGCTCTCCACTGGAAGTACTTGTTCTACCTTAAAAGATTAAAAAATGTATGTTAATTATTATGTTTGTCCAATAAACTATAATTGATGTGGGGGAGGGGTGATTGAGAATTACATGAGTGTTTGTTGGGGGGGATAGGGTAGGTCTGTTAACATAAATTGTTATATTATTACTTTTAAAACTTAATTTAAATAGTTATTTCACATGCTTTAATGAAAAATGTGTTGATATTAAAAAATAAAATATAAAGAATAGTTGATCAAAATACTTTATCCAGAACCAGCTCAGTTAACCCCATAGAAAGGGAAAGGTCCATGTGAATTTCATATATTAATTTAACATCACACAATAATGAAACCCACTTTTTTCTTTCCGATCTACAGGTTCTTGCTCCTCTTTTTTCTCAGCCGCTTGTGCCACAGGAATATTTGGTGGGGTTGGCATTTCTGGGCATTGTGAAAATTTGAGAATCAAGAATTAGTGATGTGTATATGTTGATGTGTATATAATTATACTGTACAAATGGTACAGGTTGAATGAAGAAAAAAAAAGGAATATGTTTAAATTTTAAAATAACTTCACTTATTTTAAATAAAAATTTGTAAAAGATAAAATCTGTATGAATCCAAATAGGAGCAAAATCCAGCACTAACTTGATAGCCTTACCCATAGTTTGATTTTAGGTTAACTGTTGCTATTAAACTATATAAAAGTATTCTATTTGCTCTTTACCCTTTCTCATTCCTATCCACACAACTGTTGCATTAAATGTGGGTAAATTATTTAGTTTTTGAGAGTAGGCATTTAATGCCAACATTATACAGACACAAGAAGTGTTGTTAAAAACAATGTTTGCAGTGATTAGCTGTCTGACTTGCTATTGTTCTCCATTGGGAGTGCTTGTTTCATCTAAACAAAATCTCTGTTTGATTTATTTTGGAATAATCATTATACTAAGTCTTATAAGAAATAAATCAAAATACGGTAAGCATAAGAAATTAAGAGAAAATTCTACCTGATGAGTGAACGTCAGTAGCTGTTTCATCACCAGTTTCCTGTTTCACCTGGAAGTGATAGAGGTATTTTTATTTCACCATGCAATGAATGTTCAGAGAATCAATTTGATCTAAGCTCAATAAATACAAACAATTACAAGTTTTCACATAAGAAAATTTTAAAGACAAAAAATATTTTTTTTTAAATTTTCAAAACACTTTGTCATTTTTAGAAAGGAGAATTTGTTTGCTTTAATTTAATTCAAATTAAATCATGGCAATCAGAAAATATATTTATGATATTATTGATAAAACAAATCACTGGACTTACTGGTTCTTTCATAAGGTGTTGGGGTTCACTGCATAATAGTTGCGGGTTGCTGGTTTCCTGACTGTTGTTAAAGTTGTTTGATACATCACCTGGTTCTTCCATTGTGTGTTGGGGATCACTGATTTCCACGCTGTTGTTAAGATCCCCTGGTTCTTCAATTAGGTGTTGAGGATCATTGGTTTCCACGCTTTTGTTAAAGTTGTTAGATACATTACCTTTCACCTTTAACCTCATTTTTGATTTCTTGGTTTCAACTCTATCTTTAGACACTGGGAGCTTTTTGTTGAGGTCCAGATTAATATGGATGTCAAATTTTAATTCATCACCTGACTCAAGGCTGAACTTGTTATGTTGCCATGAGGTTGTGCCAGTTGGAAGGTTCTCAGTCATGTTGGGGAGATCAGTCTGTGCAGCCGTGCTAATTCCAGTCAGTTGGTTGTGCAGGTAGTTTTGTAGCAAATTATTAATCATAGGCATATTTGAGCTCACATTATACCAAATGAGAGCCACTAAACACAACCCTAGCAAATAAGGAGTGATGTGTGGGTGTACTCCTGATGCTTCTAATGAAGGCGGATTGTCATTGTTTTCATTGTCATCATCCGGTGCATCATTGCTTGGTCGGGCCATCTTCTTTAACTATCTATCTATATATATAATTCTCTTCTGGGAGCCGTTAGAAAACAAGCTGCAAGCGCCTCCTTGCAGTCCCCTCTCTTTCTCTCTATCACTATCACTACCACCCCACCCCACCCCCACATTGTCTGGTGATCTGTGGTCACGCTAAATGTTAGTGGGGGGGTTAGTGTTTTAAAGCAAATATTTTCAGTGGCAGCATTGGTACTGTTGAATTCACAAATTATGAATTACTGAAAAGTAGAAAATAAAACAACTAAATAGCGGCGTATGATACCCAGCGGGTCGGCTCGAATTATAATATAATACAATATGTTAAAATGAAGGGAATGATATTGTAAAGAAAACTCCAAAGATGTAATTAAATACATGTACAGAACTGTATTAATCAGTGCAATGGTTTGCCCTACTTTTGATCACAATTCGTCAATCGTTTTAATATGTTGTAAGCAGAATAGCATTTATTTTACAAGAATTACCAAATCGGTTGTGTTTTTTTTGGTCATGAATATTGTGTTTTGCGCTTTTTTGTTTTGTGTTTGTTGTGTGCGATGTGTAATTTTGAGTTCTGTTATATTCTGTACTAGCCGTCCTGGCCAGGCCCTGCTCTGGCTTCTGTGAAAAACCTTTCTGTTAAAGACCATTACCTGTGTGTTTAGTAATCATCATAAACCCGGCATTGCCCACCCAAACCACAACCAACCAAAACAACAAAACGCAAACATAACGCTAACACAATTACAAATACAAACGAAAACAAAAACCTAACAACAAACCCAACCACAATCACAAACACCAATACAAACACAAAGAAAAAACAAACAAAAAAGCAAACGAAAACAAAAACCTAACAACAAACCCAACCACAACCACAAACACCAATACGAACACAAAGAAAAAAACAAACGAAAAAGCAAACGAAAACAAACCAAATACAAACGCAAAACCAACCACAAACACAAACCCAAAGAAAAAAAACACAAACGAAAAAGCAAACGAAAACAAACCAAATCCAAATGCAAAACCAACCACAAACACAAATACAAACCCAAAGAAAAAAACACAAACGAAAATGAAAAAAGAAAGAACAAAAACGAACCAAATCAAAACGCAACCACTAACGCAAACCCAACCTAAACACAAAGAAAACACTAAATGCGAACATAAACGCAAAGTGCTCACAGTCTAGCCCGGGGCAGAATCGCCTGTTTCAGCTTAATAATCGACTTTAGTACCCCAACTTATTCACTTATTCATAGTCTTTTGCACTCACTTAAACGAACGTAGGTGCCAAACCAAACCAAATGAACAATTATATACTCCAAGCTTATTCGTAAAATACCTACAACATTTGCACTTGATCAATCCCCGCTAATTATGTAATTATTTTTTTCCCCAACACCAAAACAAAGTAATAAAAAGTAAATGTTTTATAAAGGGAAGTAATTGTTTCCCTAATTTATCAAAGGGAAGTAAGTGCTAAAGGACTAAATATAAATAATTTTCAGACATAATTAGAATTTTTGTTATTTTTTAAAAATTGTGTTTAATGAACATGCCGACAATTATTACTATCAGTTTGAAAAATGAAAATTATTTCAAAACACTTTCAATAGTAATTTTTTAACTCATAAATTTAGACTATGAGCACGATAATAGTCTAACACTTAAATTAATAGAAGTATGTCAACGACAAACTTATTACATGTTACATACAGTATTGAGCTTTATATATTAGATTTCAAAATAAATACTAATTTTTTTTCTAGCATTATATATATATACTGTGCCTTATCTGGACTTGCCACCCCTAACCCTACTTTAAAATCCTGCATATGTCTTTAGGGTAAAGGGCCCTTGTCTTTTATGTTCACTGGCCTCACACTGATCAATTTTGTTACTGCCGAGCAGTCAATTAAAATGTTTTTAGATGAGTACATAAGATGGATAGGCCTAGCTGTATAGAGCTAACCTGTAAGTCTCGAGTTCAAATCGCGGTTCAAGGCAGTAGAGTGTCTCTAAGTCCAACCAGCTCTGATAGGTACCTAACTCATGTTAGTGTAAATAAAGGCAGATGGGCATAGGGCTGACCACACTATTCCTTCATATGCCCAGGTCACAGAAACAAGTGAACTCTACTTCACTTGCCCCGTAGACCGTCAGGTTTACTTTTTTACATAATAAAACATTGAAACCTTAAAATAACGCACTTATGTTAAGTGCATTAAAATTATGATAGTCGAAAAAAAAGTTTCTTTTGACTCAGTAGTAATAGATTTGGTTACTCATAATATTATTTAAACACTTGGGTACGAGTGTATTGAAAACATGAATTATTTTCTGCTTTTCAATAACCAGGAATACTAAAAGTATAATAAAAATAGCACATTTTGAAAGCATTCAGCACCATATTAATTTTCCATTAATATAATTCTTAAATCTAAACCCCCAAAATGTCTAGATTAGTTTTCTATTTCTTTATTAATACCTGATACTAGCTTACCAAATCATTAGTTCTATACTAGAGTTATCTGCCCCCTTGATATACAATCTCTGCTCTAAGATATTTATAAAATCATTTGTGTATACACTATACTGGCTGTTTCCTAAGTAGCTGGACACAGAATGACTAAATGCAATGCAGAGCAGTGGGACTAATTTGACTGTTCACTTCCCATACTACTGGACCTTGAGGGTCATAAATGACATAACAAAATTAACTTGAATCATTTACTTATCAGTGATCTAAGAACAGTAATCCATTGCATATTCCCTGCCAAGGGATTAGTTTGAGTTAAAATAATAGTTGAATAGTTGTTTAAAAGCAAGTGGAAGTTCGAGGGTTTTATTGTCATTAAGGGGAAATTCAGCCTTTAAAAAACTATAGTCTATTTTAATTTATAGAATCGCATTATTTCATATATGCCCCTAGCATTCTCTGTAGACTTACACTTTTTTCTATACAGTGTTGAAAAAAAAAAAAAAATTTCATTTGGTCAGAAATTCCTGTTTGTCAAAGTGTTGAAACAAATTTGGTCAGAAATTCCTGTTTGTCAACAATTGAAATAAACCAGTTTTGCCTGTTAAAATGGTTTCCTCATAATAATTAGAATTTATAGATCTATCTAGACTGCTATAAACAGAGGTAGTTTATACCTAGATTGTAGATGTGAGTATTAATAAAGTTTACTAAAATTGGCTTAAAATTAACCCCATTGTTGTACGCCTTGGCCTTGCAGGTTATGTAGACCCGACCTAGATTTAGAGATCTATTACTACTGTGCTCTAATGAGTAATAGTAGGCTACTAGATTATCTACTACTATTCTGAATTAGGCCCTAGATTCTAGATCGGTATCTTTTTACTAGATCTAATGACGGCCAACGCAACGAAATTTATGTATTGGTTGGCATTACTTCACTTTTAGAATTGACCTATGAAAATAAATGAAAACGACAGTTTACCTCTTGACTTTACACAGTCAACAAACAAGAAGTTACGACAGTTACGTTACGTCACTGTTCCAGGTTTAAAAAAAAATTTAACCGTTTTTAACGCATATAGATCTAAATTGTTTTCATTCAAATGCAAATGTTGTGCTTTATTTCATCCCAAAATGTATGATAAAGCGTTATTAATATAAAACAAGGAAGCCTAATTTTTTAATCTATTTTCTGGGCTTATGCCGAGGTCAACAAAAAATAATACTAGGTCTTATATATATTGCTTAATATGGCTTATATCAATCCTGACAGATTTGTTTTCTTATTTACAAGAGTTCACAGTTTAACACATACTAGTTTTATTTCTTTGTAATAGCACAGTCAGTATCTGTCGTTCTCTAGACACGTGTGGAGGTAGAGAGAGGAGGGGGGGGGGTCAAACGTGTGGTCACTTAAATTATATGGGCTTGGTAGGGATTTATCATAGGGCTACTTCATGATGAACACATTTTTAAAGTAAATATGAACATCTTTTTATGTAATAAGTAAAAATATTTAAAGATTTGGATATGTAGGGCTAATAGTTTGCGTGTGCTGTTCGTTAATTGGTTACAACAGCTGAGCAGTTGACTGCTACACGTTAATTCTGGTTAGTTTTTCGTCACATGATTTTTACCGCAGTCACTGCTATCTCGCTACACGGTGTGTAGCATGGCGCGAACAGATTTAAAAATAAGTGATACGGACGTCTATAGACCAAGAGACGGATCGATGCTGCACACGACTATGCACACTATTTATATTTGGGTCTAGCACGACAGCCAGGGGAAACAACGCAATTTATTTTAGGGGGGAAAATTCAACCTATTCTGGTTATATCCCCTTAACGGGAAAAATGTTGTCGTTTTGTTGGAAATAATTGTGTGCGTTTAATAGAAATTGTTAACAGAGAACAAAAGTTAACCTATCGAAATATTGTTGCTGGTTTTGGTATTTAAGAGCATTAATTTGATCTTGCATGAGTAGCATGGAATGTTCAGTGATCATGTTCAAAAATCATATTCTTGCAATTAGTTTATCGACACGGTGTTTTCTGTCGGTAGGGATAAACATGGGGTTACAGCAGAGGCGTAGCGAGGGGGGGGGGGGTTCATATGTCCCCGGGCGCCGACATTAGGGGGCGCCAAAATGGGTTGAAAAAAAATTAAAAGCTCATTTTTGCTGCAGTTTTGCGTTATAAATATAAAAATATATGGGGGGGGGGGGGGCATCAAATTGAAAGTGTGTCCCCAGGCGCCGGGAAGGGTCGCTACGCCTCTGGGTTGCAGGTTAGGGGGGGGGGGGGCGGAAATGCGGAAATGGCGA